AACACAAAACAACAAACACATTGCAATTGGAGATAATAGCCATAGAGCAAGAATCAAGAAACATAACCCACGGAATACCTAATCAAATTTACGAACCTTTAGTATATAAAGAATTCAAAGGCAGTACTATCTACTTAAAAAATGACTTCTTTTTTCCTCTTTTACAAAAATGTATCGCATAATCAAGTACTAAATTCCAAATTCTTTGATTACTTTACACAAACTCAGCTTTATAAAAAGTGGGTTAGGGTCAAAATTAATAAATTCTTCATTTTACACTTAAAAATATGTATATGCAAATGAGTCAGATTCAAGAAAGACAAAGAACAAGCACATTGCAATCAAACATAATACCCAGAAAGAAAGCTGGTGTCACATCCAGATCATCAAAGAAACACAACCCTAATAGAATATTGAATTAAAAAGTTATTAAATAGTGCCCATTCAGATAGACAATATAAAAGGGAAATAGGACAACCAAAATGTATAAAAACTGAAAAGTTTTGACTTCAAATTCAACCGATGTACCATTCATCCATGAAAAGGGATTCCAAATTCAAGCAATACACCATTCACCCATGAAAAACGATCAAAATAATTGACTTTTTTTATAGAACTCAAAGTGTTTATAAAGTGCATAGAAATGGTGAACTGCAATTCTTCACAAACTTCCAAGTTTATTAAAGTCTGTGAGAAGAATGTTGATGACAAAGAAAAGAATTCCTTATCAAATTTCTAATTTAAAATAACAGAAGAATTAAAAATATTAGGTAAATAGTAAAAAGTTTGTAAAGTTATTTAATGTAATACCCGTGTTTTTACGATTAATCGTTTAAAAGTGTAGATTTGTTTTAGTAAGCCAGTCATGGTCCAGTTATTATTGAATGTTTGTGGCTTTTAAATCAAGAATCAATGGTAGTTTTGGGATGAAGAAAAGTTGTGTTGAGGTCATCTGAGGCATTAAGAGACCTCTGATGCAAGTTCGATCACTCGAGAGGTCGCAAACTAGCTTAAAAACACAATAAAGTGCCAAGCTAGTTGTCAAGTGAATTAAACTCACTTCAAAACTAGCGCCCGATATTTTTGGGCTCGGGTTAGTTTCAACGCTAGTTTAAACTAGCGCTAGACACTGAACTTCTCAGGCTAGTTTCTACGCTAGTTTAAACTAATGGTGAAACTAGCGTGGAGGCATGACCAGAACAAAAAGACCGAAAATCGGAGTTTTCCTCATCTTAGCCATAACTTCTTCATTTTTATACTCCGATTTAAGCGATTCTTGATGCTATGGTTTTATATTTGGAAGATCTTTAGGATGGTAACAAAGATGATTTAAGCGATTCTTGATGCTTTGGTTTTATATTTGGAAGATCTTTAGGATGGTAACAAAGATGATTAAAGTTGCTTTGAGAAAACTATGTACATGCCAAAAATGTCTATTTTGATGCATCAAAATGTTCTTCTTGATATTTAACAAATGCTGATATTATTTGATGAGGTTTGCATTCTAATAGATTGAGTTTATAAATTTTGAGAAATGCATGTATTTGGGGGTTGGACATTTTGATGAATAAGTCACAAGAATGTGTTCTTTTGATGATTTATTGTACAAATAGAACTTATTTGATATTAATGCATTTTGGTGTATTTGGTTTTATAAATTGTTTGGAAAATGGATGTTATCGCATTATGAGGCATTTTGGTAATAATATGATATGTTTTTATTGGAAAATGGTTTGTCTCAACCAATAATGGATTTTTGAGTTAATCACGTCTTGGAGCATGTATTTGCATAAACGTTGGTTAAGTACGTTTCATCCTTTTTTATTACTTTTATCTTATACTTAACGAAATTGTTGAGCATTTGGCTCGGTTTTGACTGAAATGAATCTTGGAGACATTAGTCCGGTTTAATTTGCTTTATGTCGAGCTTTTGGAGTTATATGCAGTTATGGGATGATTATTTGATATATTACATGTTTTGGATGCATTAGTAATTCAATTAGTGTCGAGTAATTGTAGACTGTAATGCAATTGATCCATAGGCATATAAGTCGGTTTTATGGAGTATACGAGGGATAAGATCCTCAAATTGTAACTTGAAAATAGACATTGTAATTATTATGTAATTTCCATGTGAACGAGTTTAACTTGAGATCCCTTTTGTGTTTTTGGAAATAGGCATTGTGATTATTATGTACTTTCCAATCATCCCTTATTAATGGAAATAGGCATTGTGATTATTATGTAATTTCCAAGTGAACGAGCTTACTATCTCATTGGACTATATACTGGATTTGATTCTTGTCATCGTGTATCTATTTGACTATAGACTGGATTTGGTTGATGTCATTGTGCAGTTATCTATAAGTCTATTACCTTATTTTACTATATATTGTATTTGGTTGACGCCATGGTATGTTTATTAATGAGCAATGCTCCTATAACATTGGTTTGTGGCTTACTTATGTGTTTCGTCACGATAAATGGTAGACCGGTCTCCACCGTCATCTTCAGATGTGTTTATGCTCTTCTAAGGGTAAGCATGAGTTAATCGTAAAATAAGTAACTTGATTAAAGCTATGTTTTTCATTTTAATGTTTTATAGTTGTATTCTTGGTCATATGAGCATTGAGTTTTGGTTGCGTATAATCGGGTATTTTGATTAACGAGTTTTCATCATGAAAATGGTGAGTTTTAGTAAATATATTTCATTTGTGAAACTATAAATTTAATCAAAAGTCTTCCAATTTTACCGTTTTATGATTATGATGAAACTGTTTGAACTCACTAGGCGTTACGCCTAACATTTTTCCTTTGTCGGCATATGCATCAGGTCTGTGGAAAATGGTACTAGCGATACCATGATGAGATGAGTGTTAGATAGTTGCACAAGAAGGTTTTAGATTATCATTGATGTCTTCCGCCTTTGGAGATAGCGACAATTATTGGGTTATAATAACACCCGACCTTAATTTAGTCTTTATGCAAGACTTTATCTATCTTTTGTTGTTGATGATTTTAGATTCGATATTCGAGGTAATTCAAGTATTGATTAATAGAAAAATGAATTTACCTTTTATTTGTTGTATTAACAAAAAATTTAAATTAGTCGCTCTTTCCAAATTTGAAGGTGTTACAGTTAATTATGCTCTTAAAAGGATTAAATACGTCCAATTATGTCTCGTATTCATTCCAATTAAAGAGAGGCGCAAATAAGGTCCCCGATGTTGATTTTGTATATGATTATGTCAAGAAAATTAAATTTTTTTCCATCGTTCCCCCTCAATAGCCTTAAGCCCCCCGAGGCATAAACAATTTCCTACTTTAAGTATAAAATCAATTCGGCATTACGATCATGCATTATTGAGCAAACACAACAACATGAGAAAATGAATTGAAGTTTATGAGCAAAGAAGAACATGATACATCAAAACTCAAGTTCAACACCAACATATGATGAGAAACATTTGGTGGCTAAAATAAGAAACATTTCCAGATAATTGTTTTAGAAAGGGAAGAGAAATCACATCACCTTACCTGATGAATATAGTAAGGACCGAGAATCTTACCCGGTAAGAACGAAACAAAGACCAAGAGTCTTACCCGGTAAGTGAGGGCAACGACTCTTACCACGGTAAGAGCTTACCGGGTAAGTTGTTGCATACGATACCGTTTTGTTGGACTAAAATCTTACCCGATAAGTAAATGATGGTATTAAATTTTACCGATAAGCACTTACCGGGTAAGTATTTGATAAATGACCTCTTATACTTGGTATTCCTTTTCTATACCATGGTTTTTACTTTCTTCTCCCTATCACATCATATATACATTTAACCGGTCTGTTTTAAATTGAACTAACCAAATACTATAACTAATTATGTTATAGAGGGATATGTAGTAACTAGGTATTATTGCTTACATCTATTTAAAATTTATACTCAACTACATTGTATATTTGTACGGGTTACAATTAGCATCCGGATGGATAAAAAAGAGACAAAAATAAAACATGACTGACATGTTATGTTATCGGCTTTAAATCAATAAATACACAGCAACATCGTGCAGGTAACTTATTAGTAGATATTAAATTAAAAGTTAAAAACTAAGAAAATGACACGTTATAAGGCTTGATCTATTTGTCACATTATATTTCCACTAAACAAAAACTATATTCAAATATGATCAAGTTTTTAAAAAACTTTTTTGTATTTTTAATAAAGATACATACATCTCCAAACATTTAGAGGATATTAGGGATTGCTTAATTGAAACAACTTATATTTTTCTATAAAAGTTTTTATCAACTTATTATAAATTAGAATGATTTGATTTATTTAAAAACTTCTTATTACCGGTTTGACACCGTTATAAGTTGTTTATCCAAACACTTAAAAATACTTATTACCGGTATCACATCGGAATAAGTCAATAATTTGTTTTTATAAGCAATCCCAAATGCCCCTTAGGGAGTGTTTGGAATTGCTTATTTAAAACAACTTATGTTTTTTTTTTTTTTGTAAAAGTGTTTATTAACTTATGTGGTATTAAACCGGAGTTAAATAAAAGATAGTTAAAATTGTAAAATGGTAATAAGCAGTTTTTCATAAGTCATGAATGATTAACTTATCAAAAACAACTTATTACCGGTCTGGCACCGGTATAAGCAATTTTTTTTATCCAAACACCAAAAAACAACTTATCACCGATGTGAATCTGAAATAAGTTAAAAATCAGTTTTTATAAGCAATCCCGAACACCCCCTTAATATTCCCAAACTTTTAAATATCAAACCATTTTTCAAATTATTGCAACAATAATTAAACTTTTTATCAAGTATTTCTCATTATTTTTACCATTGAAGATGTTCGTTCACATTTTTGTTATTATTATACATTAATTGAACTATGTTTGTTGGTACAAATAATGATCCTCTTGTGATCATAGATGTTCAAATACGGTGATTTCAAATTACACGTAAAACAATATAACAGGTTGGATATCCTGGTTAATAAAAAAATAAAAAATGCAAAGAAGAAAGAGATGATCTGGTAGTGGAATCAATGAAGTTTGCAGTAGAAGGCTTCAACACCATTTGGCGGCAATACTCTCTCAATCAAACTTTCAGTTTCAGGTTTTCATCGTCTTCAAGAACCAAACCCTAAACTAAAACCCTTCCCATTTCATCTTCTTTTCTTTCAAAGATGATGCCTCCATTCATCCATCTCCTCCTTCTCTTCTCCATTATCACCTTCATTTGCGCATCATCTTCTTCACCCACTAAAAACCTAACCCTTCTTGGTTCTGCCCATTTCAAGAATAACTCCATTATCCTCACTCAACAACTCGCAACCTGCAACTCTCATCCAAATTCACCCACCGGAAGAGTTCTACATTCTTACCCCATTCGCTTCCTTCGTTCTTCATCCAACGCCACCGCCACCGTCTCCTTCTCCACTCGTTTCTCTGCCACCATCATCCCATCCCCTCCGCCATGCCTTCCCGGCGAAGGTATAGCCTTCCTCATCGTTTCAGATCCCAACTCTTTACCACATTCCGATGGGTATTTAGGTTTACCCGATTCCCCTCTTTTGGATCCATTCTTCGCCGTTGAGTTCGATACCACTTTCAATCAGGCTCTTGGTGATATCAACGATAATCATGTCGGAGTTGATGTGGGTTCCATCATTTCTGTCGCTTCAATCGATTTAATGTCTAAAGGGATTGATTTGAAAAGTGGGAAAACGATTACTGCTTGGATTGAGTACAGAGACTCCGAAAAGATCATCCGGGTTTGGGTCCATTACACCGAGACGAAGCCTGAAAACTCCATTCTCGCCGTCCCTGTTGATCTTTCCAAAATCCTCAAAGAATTTATGTATGTGGGCTTTTCTGCTTCTAATGGAAGAGGCTCTGCAATCCATTCTATCGAAAAATTGCAGTTTCATACCTTCGAATCTCTATCCCCAAATATGCAATTGGAAACAGTCAGTTCAAGAAACTGCTTGATTTGCTATCCAGAAGATCCGGGTTTAGAAGAATCCGAATTGGGAATGCCGAATAAACATCATAGAGACAATCGACTCATTGAATTAGCTCTTGGATTGGGATGCCTCATTGTTCTTCTCATAATTCTTGCTAGTTGTCTCATGGTTTATTGCATCTGTTTAACAAAAAGAAGAACAATCAAACAAAGATGCAACGAACAAGGCCAAATGTACAGGTTTCAGGGCACCAGAATGCCGAAAAAGCTGAAATTAACCGAGATTAAATCAGCCACAAAAGGGTTCGATCAGAATCGCATCATCGGTGAAGGGGCGTCTTCGATTGTTTATGAAGCAAATCTTCCGTCTTGTGGGAATGTGGCAGTGAAACGGTTTAGCAAAGTGAATCAATCGAGTTCGTTCGGTAACCAGTTTGCTACCGAGCTCGAAACAATGGTGGGTTGTTTACGGCACAAAAACTTGGTGAAACTTCAGGGATGGTGCTGCGAAGGGAACGAATTGGTTCTGGTTTACGAGTATATGCCGAACGGTTCGCTCGATCGGATTCTGCATCGGCGAATGAACGTGAATCGATCGCTCACGTTCGATAAACGGTTGAACATTCTTCTTGGGGTTTCTTCTGCTCTCGTGTATTTACACGAAGAATGCGAAAGACAGATCATTCATCGAGACGTTAAGACTTGTAACATCATGCTCGATGCCGAATTCAATGCGAAATTGGGCGATTTTGGGTTGGCCGAGGTCTACGAGCACAGCTCAACGAGACGGGACGCCACTTTGCCAGCGGGTACGATGGGGTATTTGGCACCGGAATACGTGTATTCCGGTGTCCCGACTGTGAAAACGGATGTGTATAGTTTCGGGGTGGTGGTGCTGGAGGTGGCTTCAGGGCAGCGCCCGGTGAACGAGGACGGCGTGATGGTGACGGATTGGGTGTGGGATTTGTGGGAGAAGAGGGTTTTGATCGCGGCGGCAGACCCGAACCTGATGGGAAAGTTTGATAAGGTGGATATGGAGAGGATGTTAATGGCGGGTTTGATCTGTGTGCATCCGAATCACCAGCGGCGGCCGACGATGAAAGAGGCGGCACTGATGCTACGAGGGAGACTGGTGGCGGATTTGCCGGCGAGGAAGCCGGCGGTTATGATTCAGTCGGTGAGGTCGACGGAGATGGTGGGGAGGATTTGTGGGGAGGATGCTGAAACGCCATGGTCTACCCCCAGAACTCATTTTAGTAGGGCATAGTGGATATTGATTTCTGTAAAATTTCAATACGTTTTGAATAATGAATAAAAAATAACAAAAAAAATATAAATAAACCGAATAACGTTGTTTATAAATGTTGAATAAATTGGTATCCTTATATTATCGTGATTGCGATAGTCTTATGTCCTTTTGTTCGAGTTATATAACAAACGAAAATAATAACAGTTTGATTTAATTTTCGCTCCCGTAATTTATATCATGTCCCTTCCCTCGTTTATTGTGCATATATTCAAACCGTTATCCCACTACTAATGATTCATTCTCGAATTCTCTCCGTCAACCCATTGTCTTCTACTATCCTCTTGTAGATCGAGAAAGTTCACAGAGAGAGGGAACAATTACAGGGTGTGTGAACTGAATACAGAGTTCGCACGAGAGGGTTAGGTATCATGCAATCTCTCAATTAGAAAAGGAAGGCACAGTTTGGTTGAGCGATGAAGGGATATCAAGATCAAGTTGAAGGCAACGATTAGTTTTCTTTCTCATTTCGTTCATGTCTTTGCACCAATCTTCTATTTCATTTCTTTATTTTTTTCCTATCATTAGGGTTAGAGTTTCGTCCAACGGAGTGAAAAATGGAAGGTTTTAAGGATGTAACATAATCCACTAATTCATCTTATTACGCTTTATTTCCTTTATTGATTACTGGTTTTTCTATTGACTTTATCAAGCAATGCATTAGTTTTATGTTGTTGAGGCTTTTTTATTACATAAGGTTTTTCAACATTTTGGTTTATTTACATTTCAATCACTTTTAAGTTTCTAATTATGCAAGTAGATTTCTAGAAAAACTAGCAAATTTGTTTCTACTGCAGTTTATTACTTTTTACTGCACTATTTTGATCATGTTTGTGCCTTTTTTTTGGTCCAAAGTATGGTGGTTGTTTACTGTTGTTTCCCATTTTTTAATTTCATATTTTACGTTTTTTTGCTTCTAGAAGAGCGATGGGAGTTGGTGAAAGAGTAACACACATTTATGTTAAGAACTCTTATATTCAGCCTTTGCTGCCACGAATAGGAGCAACAGTTATTTGTAGGTTCAACTGACAAATCTGTTAGAAAAGATATGGAAGCCATAATGTTAAACCGATCACATCTAACTTTTTTTCCCGTGAAGGATATTAGACTGCATGCAAGAAATGTAATCACCATATTGGTCAAATAGAAAATAAGTTGTCTACTCTTGCCAACGTTGGTGATTTGAGTAGTGATTGTACTGTAGCTCAAAATCGTTCAATACAATACAGTGAACGATCTTTTGCTACAAATCCTTTTACGAGTATATAAGATGCTATTCATTTGGCCATTTTACGAGTCTAATATGGTGTGAGAAGATGTAAAGATATAATTTTAAGTCCTGTTTACTTGATGCAAGGAGAATTGGGATGACCTTTGATCAACCCATTTGAAACGTTATCGAGTATCAATTGGTTGCTTCTAATCTAAAAACTGATATAAGCAACATAGTGCTCAAACTAATTACTTGTTCATAAATCAAGTGTACTACAAAATGATAGCAAATGCGGATTTGTAAAATGGATGACTTATGACTTCCGATCTATTGATAAAGCAAAAGTGGTAAATAATATAATAGCATCTTTAACAACTATGCTATAACTTTTTCAAAATAAAACATCAGAAATTAAAACTTTTAAAATAATTACATCCAACTCCAATAACTACTCTATTTTAGCAATCATATTATTAGTTTTTTTTTTAATATTTACTACATTTAATAAAATATTATTTATCTCTCCTGAATACATAATTTCGATGTCTCCTATTGGTGAGAATTAAATATTGTTTCTCTCTCTCTTAAATATGGAGTTTTAGAGATTTCTATAGATTTGGAAATTTATACTCTCTCTTTCCTTTTTTTTCCCCTCTATTTTAGCATACATTGTAACATAGCTGTTGGAGCAAAAGTATACTCAAAATCTCCAAAATCTTTATTTTAACATAATTGTTGGAGTTGTTCTAATACATTCACCTGTTGTTTTTCTACATTCCGCTTTCTTTCTTATATGACACACCATAAAACATCATGGATTACTTTAGGACCTGTATTACAAGTCCATGGTGTAACATAACCCAGTATAAGGAGAAAATGTTCCATCTAACAGAAAAAGAATGATTAGTGGGTTTAAAGTCTTAAATATTTGTTTGTAGATATTGAGCATCTACATTGACAATTACTAGGTTCCTGAGGAGACTAACACAAAATGAAAGCGAAATCAATTTGGCGAGCGTTAAAGTTGATCTAGAAGTTTTGGAATAGAAATGGGCAAGCCCTGAAGAAGTCATCGAACAAGTTAGGTTAACCCTTTTCTTAATTAATCATTGTTTCTTTCCGCAAGTTTATGTATGACGTATAAATTAATAACTGCTAGGTTTTTGAGACAATTTGTAACAATTTACGTAGCAAAAATAATAAATTCTTTTGGTTACAAACATTAAATCACTAAAACTTTTTGCATAAAACCCAATCAGATCCAATGATTTAATTAAAATCACACACCATAAAATTGTACCTCTTTATTGATCATCTCTTTCATTGATTTGATGGTGATCTCCTTTACCTTACAAAGTATATATTTATGTTATTCAGTTTCAACGATCTTCACTGAATCTGTTCAGTATTCGTTGGACATGTATTGTAACTCCTTCAAAGACTGTTACACTTCAAGAAGACAAAACTCACACCACAGATCCTTCAGCGATGTCGAAGACAAAAGCTAAATATTAGAGACCAGGAAGTTCGTGATCTGAAGCGGCATTCAATGATTACAAGCTCGTCTACATATATGTGAAGTCTGCGCAAGTTTAAGCGAATATTGCTACATAAATAGCTCTTTACAACACTACTGGATCGAACGACCTTCCAAGAAAGTGCATATTAGACCATATGTTGGAAGTGCACTTGGTGATGCATCAATCCCACGCTAGTATAGATCTTGCCTTTCTTTCTATATAGTTTTGCAACCCATAAGATTACTATGACTCTTTATAGCCTTTATAACACACTTAGTAAAAATATTTGCATTGTCTTAATTTTAAGTCCAACTCATCTGAATAAAATAACATGTGTCAATTTGTCAATATTTACCAGATGAAATATTGATACCACTTGTGAATAGGGAAATAAATTGCTAAGCAAAGTAATCATCGACTAACACTTGGTTTAATCTCACAACCTTCACTTACACTCATACTAAGATATATTTAGCCTAGCGTGATTGAATATAAGTGCTTAAAAATAAATGACATAAATGGAAATGACTGAATATAAATGACGTAAAAGTAAATTCTGCAAGAAAAGTAAAGAGAAAGCTGGAAAGGTTGTTGTAGCAATAGACATTGACGAGGCACGCTTAAAAAGTACTTGGAAAATAATATTTAAAAGCAGCAATGACCCAAAGCTTAAATGAACCTTTGTTCCTGATGATAAAGTTCTATTATTCCATTACACACTAGTTACCCACCCATTAAACAAAAGATTACCCTCATATATATGCTAACAAAAGGGAATCAAAAGTGCTAAAGGTTATTAACCATTGGTTATTAACCAATGGAGAATACAAAAGATGTTTAAGTACAAAAGGTTAAGGTATCTTTCAGTGACATCTTCTATCAAAATCATCTGCTAGCAGTACTAGAAGATGCACTCTTCCAAAATTTGACTTTTCAAAATATTTAACAAGATTGAGCCATCTGTGCCTATATCCAGTGTCCAGTGCTGCAACAATGTACACACCTGCTACAGTAATGTTATGTCAGCATTTCATTTGTCAAATACATAAAATAGTACCATTCCTGCATCTTAGCTCCATTGAATGTCAAACCATAAAATAAGACTAAAAGACTCAATATATGATTGGGAAATGTGTAAAATGAAGTGAAATAAAGTTATAATTAGGTGCTAAAGTGCATGTTTTTGCACATTTATCATCGGGCAACACAAGTAATTAGACAAAACAGATTTTAGATATCCAATGAGCGATGAAGAACAATATATCGCCCAATGAATATGTTTTATGAGCGATGAAGACAAACACAGGCAATAGTTCGAACAGATTCAATCACAAACACTAAAATTCAATTAAAATGCTTGCAAAATGCACATAAAAGCTTAAAAAATGTATTCAAACAGATTTAGTAAAGCAAATTCTTACAAAATCAGATCGAAAAGCACATTTTGATCAAAAAGTTCAAGAACTGATTCAAGAACTTAGAAAAAAATTCGAAGACTTTAAACTCAAATTCAATTTCAATTTCAATTTAATTGATAAATTGATCGAATCAAAACAGTTTCAGATTGCAATACACACGAATCCCAATCAAATTCACATCAAATCACACAAAGAATATGAATAATTGGATTCAATATGCCAAAAACAGAAAATTCAAAGAAACAGGGTAGAAACAATTTCTAGATTAAAGAAATCGATTCAATTCAGGCTCAACCTGCAATCTGGTTGTCGTTTGTTTGCTCAGATACCAATTGTTGTTCCGGTTTCAATCAATCTAAATACAACTCAATCCAAGAACTTAAAGTTCAACAATGGCAGATTAAGAGTAGAGAGATAATTTCTTCAAATGTCTTCGATTAGCTTCAAACTATTTTGGTCCTAACACTACCCTGAAAATACCTAAACACCGCAAAAGAGTTCAAGAGCCGATAAATGGGAAACCAAAGAAGATACGGTTTTGATGTCAACATGGATCTACGTTAGTGAAGAACCTACTCGAGGCAAAAACTAGAAGAAACATACATTTTGGTCACGAGTGAAAGAATAATATGACGAAACTCGAGCAGAAAATGTACAAAGTGGGAATCAGGAAGAAAAATTAAATGAAAGGTCTCTTTGCATGTTAATGAAAGTGCAAACAAATGGACTACTGCATACAGAGAAACATATCGACAGAAAAGGAGTAGAATGAGTATGAACGATGTTGAGAAAAAGAGGCTCATGCAATTT